CCAAAACTCAACCAAATCACTCAATTTTTTCTTAGAATGAAGCTAGAACTGTCAGCTCTCAAATGACATAGCCATAACATAGATATGAATGATGCTAGTACTTTCAAAAATGAACTGGTGCCAGCTGTCGCAAACATGCGCCATGACTTTTCCGACAACCCAATACATAGGTATCACCATATTATTGACTATATTCCTTATGCTTTACTTTATATCCCCACAACTGTTTTGAAACTACCAATTTGTACTTTTTAATGCCTTCACCTTTTTCACCCTACCCCCAAACCTCCACGCATCTAGAACCCTAATAAATCTTATACCCATCTGACACCATACATAGTTATTACAATATTATTGACTACATTCCTTATGTCAAAACCTACATTCCCATGAATACTTTGTAACAACCAATTTGTATTTCTTAATCCTTTTTCACCTACCCCCAAACTTCCTCCCATATGACAACCATCAAAATGTTCTCTGTATCTGTGACTTCATTTCTGTTTTGTTTGTTCGTTTTGTTCTTTAGAGTCCACATATTAGCAAAACCACATTACAGCTTTCTTTCTCTGTCTGACATATGCCACTCAGCACAACACCCTCCAGGCCCATCCATGCCACGGCAGGTAGCAAAAACCCATTCATTCCCTTCCATGGCTGAGCAATATTCCACTGTATGTATGTGCCACCTCCTCTTTATCCATTCATCCATCGACAGACACTCCGGCTGCCTCCACGTCTTTGACATTGTAAACAATACTGCAATGAACATATAGATGCACACATCCCCTTGAAGTAGCATTTTAGGTTTCTTTGGGTGAATACCCTGAAGTGGGATTACTGGGTTCTTCATTGCCTCTTGTTATAGCCTTTGTTTTAAAATCTATTTTGTCTGGTATAGTATGGCTATGCCAGCTTTTTTTTTTTTTTTCAATTTTCATGAAATATCTTTTCTCATCTCTTTACTTTTAGTCTCTTTGAGTCTTTCAATCTGAAGTTAGCCTCTTATAAGCAGCATATGTAAGGGTGTTTTCTTATCCATTCAGCCACCCTATCTTTTGATTGGAGAATTTAATCCATTTACATTTTAAGTAATTAGTAATGTCTGTTTCCTTCACCAGGTTAGGGAAGTTTTTCATCATTATTAGTTCAAATAGGTTTAGGTTTTTAGTTCCTTGCTCTCTCTCTTCTCTTTCTGGTACCCCTATGGTCCAAATGTTGGTATGCTTGATGTTGTCTCAGATGCCCCTTAAATAATATTCGTTTTTGGGGGGTTATTTCTTTTTGCTGTTCTGTTTGGGTGTTTTCTGCTACCATATCTTCTAAATTGCTCATTCGATTCTCTGCTTTGTCTAATCTATTAATCTATTGTTGATTCCTTCTAATGTATTCTTGATTTCAGTTATTGTATTCTTTATTTATGACTGGTTCTTTTTTATGTTTTCTGTATTTTTATGTTTCCTATCTCTTTCTTGAAGTTCTCTCTGAGTCATTGAGCAACCATATAATCAGTGTTTGGAACTCTCTGTCTGGTAGATTGCCTGTCTCCATTTTGTTTAATTCTTTTTCTGGATGTTTGTTCTGTTTTTTTTGGGGGGATGTTTCTTTGTATCCCCATTTTGTCTGCCTTCCTATGTTTGTTTCTATGTATTAAGTAGGGCTGCTATGCCTCCTGGATTTAGTAGAGTAGTCTTATGTAGTAGGTGTCCTGTGGGGCCCAGTGGTGCTGTCTCCCTTGTTACCTCAGCTGGGTACTCCAGGTATGTCCCTTGTGTGGGTTGTGTGTGCCTTCCTGTTAGAGTTGAACCTTGGTTGCTATTTGCATATCAATGGGAGAAACTGACCCTCAGGCTGATTGGTTGTGAGGACTTGCTATGACTACAGTGGCGGGGCTGTTGTGCTGGGGCTGACCCAATGGAGCAGGATTTGTTTTAGCAGGGCTCTGGTACCTGCCTAGTCTGCCCTTTGTGTGTGTCATTCTTGGAGGTGGCTGGGTGATACTCTGGCTCAGTCTGAAGCTGGCATCCAGGTGTGCTGGTTCCTAGGGCATCCTGGCAGGGGCCCTGCCACAGGCCAAGTTCAGTCATAGCCAGTCTCCTTCCTGGAGACAGCTGGCATGAGCCACAAAGCAATCCACAGGTGGCTACCACTTGTGCTGGGCTTGAAGATACCTCAAGGTGTCCACCATGAACTGAGACTGACTGTGGCTAGTGCCACACCTAGGGCTGCTCAGCAAGAGTTATGGGACGTGCCAAAGTCAGATCCTGCTTGTTTGGGTTTTTTGAACTTTGAAAGATTTTAGGAAAGTCTGCAGCATGAACCAAGACAGGCCATTTGTACTGAAAATCTACTGAATGCTGCCTGGGTGTACCTGAAAATTGGTTGGGTGGGGACTCTGGGACTATCCCGGTGTGGCAAACTAAGGGTGTTAGCCAATTTGATGAGACTCAGATATGGCAGCTGCCTGTGTCTGCCCACCAGGATGGGAAAGGGCTCAACAAAGAAACAATGGCTTCTGCCCGCTCCTCCGTCCAGGAGAAAGGTTCCCCTCCAGCCCTCAACCTAAGTCAAACAACTCAGTTCCTCCCCTTATGTCCCAGCCTTTTGAGCTGCTGTCTCAGTGCTGGAGATCAGAGTGAGCAAATGCATCAGCGAATGAGTCCATGTGTTGTGGTCCCTTTAAGAGGAGCACCTGGGACTGCAGCCGCCCTTGTCTCACTCAACCACAGTCTCCACTAGTTTTCACAGCCAGAAGTTATGGCTATTTCTTTTCCTGGCGCTGGAGCCCTGGACTGCGGAGCCTGGTGTGGGGCTGGGACCCCTTACTCCTTGGGGGTGTGGAGAGGGACCTCCACAGCCAAGATATTTCTCCTGACTTTAAAGGTCATATGTGGGTGTCAGACCAGCCCATTCCACGACTCTGTCTCTCCTACCAATCTCTAGGCGGTTGCTTCTGTATGTCATTAGTTGTAGGGCTTCAGTTCAGCTTGGCTTAAGACAGTGCTCAATGATGGTTGTGCTGTACTTTAATTGTAATTTTGATGTGGTCATGAGAGGAAGTAAGCATAGTGTTTACTTACTCCACCATCTTGACCAGAAATTATTAAAGGAATTTTTTTAAACATGCATTTTAAAGACACAAATAACACTGTTTAGTTTTATCTAATTGACTTTAAACTGAACTCCTCTTTGCAGTTTTGACTAGATCATTGACAAGACCTGAATGCGAGTGTTTGAAAAAATTAGGACTACAAAAATATATTTTCTTAAGTTTATTTTTTTTAGGAGCACATATTTGCATTATATTACATAAACTTTGAAGTTTATAAAATTTTATTTTTACTACTACTACTTCCCATAAGATCATTTTTTAAATTTATTTTTCTCTTCCTCTTCTCAGTTCCTTGTATTCAGCCTGAACAAATAGGACTCAATTAAAGGGAAACAGTGCTAGATACAGATTAAGAAGAACAGTGAAAGCATTTGGGAAGCTGGGTATAGGAACGAGGTTAAAAAATGTCTGCTTTTGATTTTAGATTCTTTTAAGATTATAACGTATGCATTCAGACAGCTGAGTCTGAAAATCACCTCATACACCTTGAGACTCAAACAGGTATTTATTGCATTTCTCTTACTATGTGCAAAACACTGTGCAAGATGAAGGGGTCACAGTCCATGCCCTCAAAAGACTTTAAAAAAGTTATGTGAGGTGGGGGTGGGAAGGCAGACACTAATCAAAAATTGATGTGTGGTAACTTCTATACTAGAGATTTACCAGAGTGTTTTAGAGCCCAGAGGAGGGAACATACCTAGAGCTTGTGGGGGTAGAGAAGACTTCTGGGAAAGGGGTGCCCAAGTTAACCCTGAATGGATGAATAGATGTTAGCCAGGGGAGGGGGAGGGGGAATGAAGGCAAAAAACCCCTCAGCCACAGGAGCACTATAAACAAGGCACAGGGGTGCCATTGGCTGGGTGTGCCTGCAGAGCTTCAGGATTAGTGCAGGTCAGGCAGAGGTGAAAATCAAGGGAAGGTAGACTGGGGCCAACTCCTGGAGTAGCACCATGCGCCCTGTGAAAAGGCTTGGACTTGATCCTGTAGGTGATGGGGAAGCTGTGAAGGATTAATCATAGAATGATCATGAGTAGATATACTTTGAAATAATCCACCTGCAATCCGTGTAAAGAATGGATGTATAGGAAGCAAGAATGAGTACAAGAAAATCATTTAGGATATTGTTGCAATAGTCCAGGAAGAAAAAAATGGCAGGCTGAACTAGGGTAGTGTGAGTGTGTTGGAGGGAATTTGCAAAGTGCCCTATTCCTCTGAGTGGCTAATGTGAATACTGATGTTATTCATACTTCTAGCATTTTTCACCCTTCTTGTGTCAGGTACTAAGCGAAGAGACACAAAGCCCACTCTGTGAATAGGAATTCTATGTATGTAGTTTATCTTGGTTTCTAAGGGCAAGATGGTTAGATTCCTTCCACATAGTCTGTGTGGGTACTGGGAAAATTGGTACAATGTCTCAAGGCACTTAAAAAAGCAGCAAAAGACGCAAAAGTTCTCTACAGTCATTCCAAAAGTGTGATATGTTTCTACAACCTCTGAAAGGTGTGGTCATGCCAAGCATTTTCTTACAGTCATTTTTCTATGCCTAAAATGTTTGCTGTAATGGTCAGTCATTTTCAGGGGATGAGTATCTCAACTTGACATTGATCCCTAAAAGCATGAATGAAGTAATTATACACTGCATTTTGTAGTTGGTATTCCCAGGCACTAATTCCTATTGTTTGAAGTGAGGCCCTTTTGACTTTTAGTATAAAATTTTGTTGTAGAATTGGAGGTTCTGCTTTTCTCAAGAAAGTCAGGGAAATCATGGTATTTATTAGTTTTAACTCAAAAAAATAAAAAATAAAAAAACAGACAAAATGATTAAAGCTTGATAATCTAGATTTTTACCTTTTGTAATTCTTCATATATATTTTCTTGTAATTTACAGGAAAGAAAATTTATCAGAGTTTCTTCTTAAACCTGTCTTAGAAATAAGAACGTATTTCAACCAGGGATTTGTAAGTATACTTTTCTTCTTTGTTTAGAAAATTAGATATTGATTTTGTGGAAGAAATGACTTTCAGTAAAACACTTGACAGCATATAGCCAAGCTATATATACCATCTGAGTTGGCATGCATAATTTGAATGACAGAAAAACACACAAAATCATCCCTCATAAAACCAAACCAAAACAAAGAAATCAAACCTCAAGCAGAAAACCTTCCCACATCTATTTATAGCTAGTGAAGGTTGGCATTATTTTTTTGGCAATTTCTTTTTCTTGATGTCATTTTCATTACTTATTTATTGCTCTTTGTGAAAATATCTGTGTTTCCACATATTTTAGAAAGTCTGTAACTTCAATGGGAAGGAAGAGGAAAAGGGTAGGGTGTGAACACAGGAAAAGGAAGAATTTATATTCTGTTAAAATTAAATGGCTTTGGACAGCTTTGTATTTTCCAGTAACACTGTTAGTGATTTAAAAAAAAAATAAAACTGAGTCTCTTAATAGCTAAGGTACATTCAGTTCCATTGTACTTGTGACATGCCTGTTATTGTGCTAAATCCCAATTCAGTAATGGGGAATCTGGGAGACGCTTCCTATTTCAGTTTAGCAAGAGATCATGACTAATATGTCTTTTCACAAACAGATATTTTATTAGATGATTGAGAAGAACCAGTGACATTTCAAGTCTAAGGTAGCACAAGTCAAGTACCAACGCAAAGATCCAGCATATTGAGCTGAAGAGCATAGAGCCTAGGACCTGTGATGTAAAGACAGATTAGGGAAGTGGAATTACATAACTAAAGTCTAGAGTCTGTGGGTTCCTTCCTACATGTATGAAACCTTGGACAGCATAGTTCTTTCTGGGCTTCTCAACTATAAATATTTGTATTTGAAGATGGTTGACTAGAAATGATGACTACTTTAAATGATTTTGTGATTCCAGGAAATCCTTGAAGCATTGTTGCTTAGTAGTCAATAGTTATTTTATCTTGGTTAATATGTGGTTATTGTAATAACATTAACATTTGTATATCAGCTAATAAAACCAACCAACAGGAAGTGAGAATATTTTTAATTTGCTTCATCAGGTAAGATCTCAGCAAATTGTTTAATTAGAAAGTGTACTGAACTCTGAAATACACACTCTAGCAATATAGGTTGTTTCTTAGCTATATGATGTTAGTTTCTAGTTCTATGCATCCGTTTATGAATATTGCGGTTTGGAGCAAGTTACCTGAACTCTCTAATGCTTCAATTTGTCAGTAAAATGAGAGTAAAAATGCCTGTGTTACTAGGCATTTTGGTTACTCTGTTAACAGGCCTCTTATGCGGATTAAATAAAATGATGAAATAATGCAGTCTAAATAATAATGAAATAAACCTATACTGCAATCATAATTTTTTCTCTTTACTATATATATTGTTTCATACACTTGAAGTTTTTTCCACATAATGGTTAATTTCATTTGTCAGCATAAATAAGCCATTTTATGGATGACGTTGGTGTTTATAAAATCACTGAAAGGATTGTTTAAATGCACATTCTTGGCCACATTCCCAGATACTTTTAACAAGCATCTTAGATGATTCAAAGGAAAGTAATCTACAGGCTACACTTTGAGAAACACTAATTGCTTTTTAAAAATCATCCCCAAATTACAGTAGTTGATTATCAAAGCCACATGGGAACTTTATAAAAAATATGTATGTCTAGGACTTCACGTTGGTTGATCCTGATATGGCAGATATGAAACAAGCGTTTGGAACTTGTGTTTTCAAAAAGTTGCCACACTGATTTTGATATTTGCAAACCGCTGCTTCACAGCCTCACTGTATCTCTAACTTTTTATTGATAAAGCCTTTGGCTATGCTTGCCATGTATGGATGAGGGCAAGTCATTCTGGGTATGTGCTTCAACTAGTCCAGATCAAGTTACAGGAGTAAAAAGGATGAGTCTGGATGTCTGCATGTCTATGCATTAACCAGACTGCTCACCCTTGGCTGTGTCCTGCTTTAAGTAAATCCAAGTGCCAAGTCCATAAATTGCAGAATTTCTGAATAAGAAAGGACTGTTGGAGACTATGTCTCTCAAACCTGTTACTTCACAAAGGAGGAAAGAGAGGCTCAGAGGTTCGCCCAAAGCCACAGGGCAAGATCTGAGCCTCTACCTCAGTTCTATTTCCATTGCAATTGACTGGCTCTGATTCCGCCCATTTAGGAACCTGCAACCCCTGTGACACCAGCTTCTCTAGTGCGGGCTGGAGGCTTCCTTGCAGGTGCAGCCATAGAGAGTGGTCTGAGTCAGCTTCCCTTCCTAACTGTTCAGCTGTCTGAAAGTTAGAGCTTCCTCCTTTCCAACTCCAGTTCTCTGCCATGAATAAAAAGAAGCAGGAAGACCACGGAACCGCAGGTACTCACCAGGAGAGGCAGCCTGTTCCAGCAGTGGCACCATGTTACCTTTTTGGTTCTTTTTCTTAGCCAGAGCTGACGTGCCTTTTATCAAACCCTGTAGCTCTCAATGACAGAACACTCATCATTTTGCCTGTCTT